CCATCATCACACATCTTCCAACCAGCATGCACCACACACCTGAGCGCAGCCCACTTCGCCTTCCACAGGCACGCAATACGTGCTTCTCAGGTAAGTAGGAGGCTTGTTCTTAGGCTCCCGCTCCCTGTGGCCTCCATGGTACTAGCGCATATGCGATCTGAACAGTCCCCATTATACGCTAGCCCCCTTGCGTTGTGTTGGGGGCCAAATCGTGTGTGGCAAGCATAGGCAGCCTATTTAATTCTGTCAGCCACCTGCGTCCAATCGGCACGACAGATGACTGACCGGCTCGAACAAGGGTCTGATGCCTGGGAAAGGGAAGAGAGTGGCATCGACTCTAACGTCTTCGTTCCCACGACAAACAATTGGAAATGCTTGAATCGATCACGGTGCACTTAAAGCCATGGCTTGGGAGGCTGCTCACTTATGGGAGAACTCGGTCCCCATCCCCCTACAACAGAGAGTCAGACTGTGGTGGCTTTGACACTTCTACTCAGCTAGAATTTAGGCCGCCCCTGACTTATACGAAATTCTGGTCGATTGTTTGTGTGGACCAGACATGTTTGGCACACGTAGACGAGCCATTTAGCTTTGTCAGCCTCTGCACCCGATCGCGCCTCCGGTCTCCTTAATACCAGACCCAGCTTGGTAAGGGAGGAGCTAGTGCGGGAGATCCTGCGAAAATCTACAACATTATAAACGAATTCACGTGCACGTCACTGCCCCTGCGCCCACCATGCTGTATGGAACAGGTGGACATCTTAGGTAAAGTCGGTCGACATGTCGTGTCAGATGTTTTTTTTGCCGTTTTGAGATTACTCGCTGTTAACAAATAGTCGGTCTTCATCTCTCTCCCACGAATTTCGCATCGACAATCAAACCCAAAATGGCCCATAAGATGACTGCGGACTCACCGCGTCCATCACAGCCATTGCAAATCCCCGTATAACTCAGCTGATCGTGGCGTGGTAGTCTTCAACTTATTCCTTTTAGCTGCCGGTTGAACGCTATTGCGTAAGCTAGTAGTTGATAGTGCGTACACGGAAACCGTAGAGGTGTTCGTAAGATAAGCCCTCAGTCGGGCGTAAACCACTCCGTCTGCGACCTGTTCCAAAACAAGTAGCGTACGTTTCTCCTGTTGCTAGAAGGCGTCGTACCTACCAAAGAGTCACGTGGGCGAATGTGCTATAACGCGAACCACTAAAAGGGGCCATGCAAGAGAGGCGCTTGATCAAAATACGGCCAATTTAGGCCACGGCTCGTATTAAACAGGCTGTGCAGAGTCCGCCCCTCCCATAGCAGATGTCAGCGTACCATACCTCAACTCCCCGCGCACTGGTAGCACTGTCGTGGCTGGTATACAACTGCTTATTCGTCAGACCTGAGAGCCTGTTTATCTAGCGGCTAACCTTTTCTTAAGACTATTCCACTACTGGGTTCCTATGAGTGCGCTGGGTAGTTAACAGCTAAGCTGACGGATTTAAAGCGGAAACAGAGCGTTTGATTTAGCATGGTGATCGGTCAATCATTGTGCACCTCAGAGATTAAATTCGTATCTTTTGCCGATTACTTTAAAAGGATACTGTTTTTTTTTCTCTCGTTACAATCGACTGCTTTTTTAATAAGGGCAATGCGTCGACGACTGTACGTACCGCACTATTCGATAGTGCATTTTCCCTATCTGCTATTGCTCTCTGACTATGTCTCTGATGACGAATCCGCGACGGATATCGAAACGTCAAGCGAATAAAAGTACTGTCCCAGCGATCGAGTCGTCTTTTCAAGTGCATTCTTTACTCTATGCGACTGTAATCCAGCCAACATTTCTTGAATTAGGCCTT